TCAGGGTACTCATGTGTTCTAGGAGTGGTGAAAGGAGACCTGCACTACACTCCTAACTTCATGAGAACAGCTGTGGAGAATGATAGACTTGTAAAGACCTCTGTCCAGCTCTACCATCTCAGTAGATATGGGTCATGGTGGAGGAGAGGGGTCACTTTGAGTATTTCTATTTTGGGAGAAAGTAAAGATTATTTTTAAAAAATTTTTTTTGCTTTCAAATTTTTTATTTAATGAATATAAATTTCCAAAGTACAGCTTATGGGATTACAATGGCTTCCCCCCTCATAACGTCCCTCCCCACCCGCAACCCTCCCCTTTCCCACTCCCTCTCCCCTTCCATTCATATCAAGATTTCATTTTCGTTTTCTCTTTTATATACAGAAGATCAGTTTTAGCATACATTAAGTAAAGATTTCAACAGTTTGCTCCCACACAGAAACATAAAGTGAAAAATACTGTTTGAGTACTAGTTATAGCATTAAATCTCAATGTACAGCACACTAAGGGACAAAGATCCTACATGAGGAGTAAAGTGCACAGTGACTCCTGTTGTTGACTTAACAAATTGACACTCTTGTTTATGGCATCAGTAATCACCCTAGGCTCTTGTCATGAGCTGCCAAGGCTATGGAAGCCCCCTGAGTTCACTGACTCTGATCATATTTAGACAAGGCCATGGTCGAAGTGGAAATTCTCTCCTCCCTTCAGAGAAAGGTACCTCCTTCTTTGATGACCCGTTCTTTCCACTGGGATCTCACTCGCGGAGATCTTTCATTTAGGTTTTTTTTTTTTTTTCCCCAGAGTGTCTTGGCTTTCCATGCCTGAAATACTCTCATGGGCATTTCAGCCGGATCCGCATGCCTTAAGGGCTGGCTGATTCTGAGGCCAGAGTGCTGTTAGGACATCTGCCATTCTATGGGTCTGCTGTGTATCTCACTTCCCATGTTGGATCATTCTCTCCCTTTCTGATTCTATCAGCTAGTATTTGCAGACACTATTCTTGTTTATGTGATCCCTTTGGTTCTTAGTCCTATCATTACGATCAATTGTGAACAGAAATTGATCACTGGGACTAGTGAGATGGCATTGGTACATGCCACCTGGATGGGATTGAATTGGAATCCCCTGGTATGTTTCTAACTCTACCGTTTGAGGTAAGTCAGCTTGAGCATGTCCCGAATTGCACATCTCTTCCCTCTCTTATTCCCACTCTTATATTTAACAGCAATCACTTTTCAGTTAAGTTTCAGCACTTAAGAAGAATTGTGTATTGATTACAGTATTCAACCAAAAGTATTAAGTAGAACAAACAAAAAAAAATACTAAGAGGGATAACATATTAAGCTTCTCATCAACAGTCAGGGTGAAGGCTGATCAAGTCACCATTTCTCAAAGTGTTCATTTCACTTTAACAGGTTTCCCTTTTGGTGCTCAGTTAGTTGTCACCTATCAAGGAGAACAAGTTTCTTAGTGTATGTGCTGCCAAAGTGAGCATCTACGCTTTTCTTTGTTGGGAGAGTCTTTATTACCGATCCAATCTCCATCTTGGTTATTGGTCTATTTAGGTTTTCTATGCTTTCCTAACTAAATTTTGGGAGAATGTATCTCTCCAGAAATCTATCCATTTTTTTTTCCTAGATTTTCCAACGTGTTGGCATATAGCTGTTTGTAGTAGTTCCTAATGATTCTCTTTATTTCTATGGTATCCATGATAATATCTGCTT